CGACAAATTATTTGCGATTATTTCCGACCTAACAGCCTGTTTTATCCTTGTTTCACGAGACAGAAACGGAAACCAGTACGCCCTACGATCTTGCGAGATAATTTTTGACTGAGTGCCACTGCGTTCCACGATTGCAAAGTTGTATCTTGCAAGCAAAGTATGTAGTGCTCAGTGAATCTACCTGGTGATGAAATAAGAACAACACCAATTCAATTTAGGGACGCGTATTTTATTCAAAACGAACCGGCTTATAAATCTACCATCTAAATTACACCTCTGTAATTTATTGAATCACGGGGATGTTAGTCCTTAACAACATAAAAATTTTCCTTTAATACAATGAATCGAAAACGAGCAGGTAATGAGTAAAGAATTCTTTTCAGTGCACAGATTGCGACCCATCATCTTTTAGAAGCAGATTGACCTCCTGGAGTTGATGGACTAGGTATAGCCCTACAAGATATCAGGAAAGCCTGTAGACAATCATCCGCTGTCTCTCCACCTCCAGAAACTCTTAAGTGGGCTCTCTTGAAGGTGTCAAAGAAACGCTCCGCTTGACTACTGGACTGGAGATTGTAGGTTGGTGAGCGGCGGTGTTGAATGCACTGGCGACAGCAGAAATCTTTAAACAACGAAGACTTCGGACACCAAGACATCAGGAACTCCATGTTGAGTGAAGATTCGCTGCAGACAAGCCAGAGTGGCACTGTGGTCAGTGTGTTGACGGCCACAACTTCAAGCCGTTTGGAATTGGCATCGGCTACGACCAGCTAGGGATAGTCATCATTCGGACCAGTATAGTCATTGGGCACGCGGCACCACGGTCTTTCTATTCATTGCCAAAAGACATATGTTTAATACTCCGGCATCGTCACTGATTGTTAACAGCGTGAGCGGCAGTAAACGCTCTTGTCGGTCGGTACTGTTGCAGATTGCACTGCGTTGCAGATGGTCGGAAGAGTCAGATCGGCCAAACCAAGGTCATTGATCCAATCGGGAGCACTTAGGTTGAGTTGTTTAATATCTTGGAATATATTGGTAACCGATTGGAAAGTCATCGTTTCAGAAAGCATGGTAGACGACCAGTTAATGTATTTGTTATACTGCACAAAGCTTTGCTTTTGACTTTAAAGCTTCTTCAGGCGAATTTGAGCTTTGCTTCCGTAATATAGCGGATTCCGTCAAATGTGACACAACGAAAAGAGACGGAGCAGTGCAGCTTCCCGATTAGTTGCACGCAACCACCACAAGCAATGGTGGCGAATTAGAAGCTCGATTGGAAAGGTGGCTTGCTAACCGAGAGCCAGAAGTACTCGGAAATAATTGTGATATCCGAGGCAGTGTTCAACTGCAATCGGATAGATGACGATTGATCAGAATGTTGAGGACTTTCTTGCGGTTTCGGAACTGACTTGGTTTGCGGCCAGCAGACTCGTGTGGATGCCAACCAGACAACATATGACCTTGCATCGGGATCGGGACTAAGTTTTGGACTGCGGCTGGGAAAGAGGCCAGGTTTGTCTCTATTAGGTGGTGAAGGATTGCAGCAACCATCCCAGTGCGTCATTCTGCCGCATCGCTGGCACCGGTGCCGGTGGGGGTTGCAGTCTCGGTGGAAATGTCAGGCACCACAGAATGGGCCCAGATAGGGGGACGTCGCTCGATAGAGTTAGATAGGTCGCCCGGGAGATTGCGTCTTGGGTGCTGCGACCGCCTGGAACAAAGAAGATGCAGATGAGCGCTGGATCATCGCAAGCTTGTGCTTAAGTTTGGTTATCGCCTGACAATCATCGGCTAGATTCTGAAGCATAATCGTGCTGTCCTGCTGCAGTTTGGACTGGAGGCACTTTCGGATCTCGGGCATCTTGGGCGAACTGTAGTCCGGCGATGAATACTAGGCACTTGAACTGGTCCTTTGTGATGGAGTAAAGCTGAAATCATTCTCATTCACGATTGACGATGCCTTGTAGGTGATGAAGTCATCAGCATCACTCTTGGCCAGCTAGAGTCATTGGAACCAGGAATTAAACAAAGTGGACCGTTCAAAAGTCTGCCACAAGGTCCGAACCGTCTCGCTAAAGGAAATGTCTTGGGGCTTCTTTAGCAGGATAAAACTGTGGTGACGTTGGTGTTCAGCGGTGTCCATTTTCCGACATAACAGCCGTAGTTTCCACGCATCAACCTGAGTTGCCAGATCGATGGCGTACAGGTCCTCGTACCACTTGTACCAATTATCAAAGGTTACGCAGACATTGGGGTTGTACAGGAACTACGAAAAGCTGTTAACGATCTGACCCACCGACTGGGGACTGCCAAAGAAGCGTGTCTAAATGGCTGGACAGCTTATCGGCTAATACGGAAATAAATTTGATCTGTCGCTTTAGCCTCTGCTTCAAACCAGTGTATGCATCTGGCGTGTTTCGGAAAAATTTCCCTTCCTTTCAAGGCGCTGCTTTATTTGCACCCAAGTATTCTCGGACTATCGTTCAACAGATTGTAAGGTGAATATCAAGTCCACATTGTGTACTTGGATTGCAACGCGCAGTCACAATGGAAACAGTGCTTAGCATTGAAATAGATCTTGGTCATTTTGATTAATAGGATCGCAGCTGATGATGCAGAAGGAACTTTTGGTATTGCCCGCCAGCAGTTTTTTCGGGCGGGCAACAACCAGCAGCGTCCAACAGTCTTCGGCGCATTGCAGAACAGCGAGAGTCTGCTTCTCTCTGTTGTTTCCTCCACGTTTGCTCTCAGTAATGGCCACTTCCCGCTTGCAAACATTAATTATGTTTATTACCGTACTCTCGTTGACATTGGCGACTACATCAGCTTCAAGGAACACAAGTGTGATAAGGATCTTTTACTGCGTCAAGGACGTTCGCTTATACTGTTGCTGACTCGTAGACGCGTTTTCTCGTTGTCCGGCACTCACTTTGGTTGTTTTCATAAATCAGTCAGCTAACAAAGTAAGGTAACTTTTGGTTGAGCCATAATAGAATACACGGGTCGGAACTCTGACTTTCCACAAGTCACACAGCTGCACATTCATGTGTACGAGCGTGGACACACAAACTAGGCGAGAGAGAGGGGAAAGTTTGTCACCACCTTTAATCGAACTGATCGAGGTTCACGATCGAGAGAGGAGCTTGCACTAACACAAGCTGATTACACAATTCAGCTTCATAAGCATGACCACAATCTGGTTGAATATCGTTCCTGGGTAACAAATTGCTTATTTTCTGCTAGGAATATAATGTCTCCAGTTGGATTCGGGAAACGTTCAGTTTGATTTAAAAGACGTCCAATTTGAGGTAAAGATGCTCTATATGGTTGGCGGCATCCGATTTCGGATTTGTCTGTCACTGTGGACAGCCACAGAACACCTGCGCCTACAGAGGGACCATGGGTGGCTTGCACCACCCACAGCTCCAACCACATACCATATATCCAGTGTAAACCCGAAGGAATAAGACCGGGAGGCACGTGGATGGGAGTCACGTTTCATCAACGGAGCCGGCCCACACTTCTTCATAGGCAACCACAAGCACGTTGTAGTTGGGGAATCAGGCGCACACAAAGCGGTGGCTGGACCGCAGTCCGCTCCACACTGGGTGCTTGGAACCGCCCTTCGAGCCTAGCCTGGCCACAAGGACCGTGCACCCCGTCCCGTCCATTAACGACCAACTCTCTCCTGGAGCCAGTATGGACGAGGTAGTGGGTAGTAGACAGGTAGACACCTAGTAAGCATGCACATCAAGCGCAGCCACACCGGGTATATCAAGCAACAGCCAATCATTTGGAACGACAAGACGAAATAAAATAAATCGAATAATGCATACAGATACGGTGGCGTAACTCTTCCCTAAATTACCATATGAAGTAATTTGGTTAGCAACGCATCCGCGATCAGTAAAAATATGTCCACAAGTTAACTAAAAATGCTACAAACGCAGCAAAATTACCAAAGATAAACGCAAGTAGCATAAGCAATTTGGCCAGTTAATAGAAGATTACTCAGGTAGGCAGAACAAACCAAATAAAGTGGAATGAAATTTATCCGGCTTAAAAAGACCTAGTTTAAGTGTAACTTAGTTTAACCCAACTGCGATGAAGAAGCATCAAGAATGCAACATCAGCCTCAGTATATATATATATATATATATATATATATATATATATATATATATATATATATACATGGTTGGCAGCATCCGGTTTCGGATTTGCCTGTCACTGTGGCAAGCCACAGGACACCTGCGCCTACAGAGGGAACATGGGTAACTTGCGCTGCACCACCCACAGTTCTAACCACATACCCCATATCCAGTGTAAACCCGAAGGAATAAGGCCGGGAGGCATGCGGATGGGAGCCAGGTTTCATCAACGGAGCCGGCCCACCCTCCTTCACAGCAAGCACAAGCACGCTGTATATATATATATATATATATATATATATATATATATATATATATATATATATATATATATATATATATATATATATATATATATATATATATATATATATATATATATATATATATATATATATATATATATATATATAAAGTTTAAGGATTAGATATGAAGAGATCACCCAGGTAATTACGCCTTCTCTAAGACACGTACACGATTTTTACTGGCCTTCACGTGCTCAGCTGCTGCGTCCAGTAACACTAGCATATATGCCGGAGAATAACGAGAGGGGAAGTGACAGAATGTGTTGCTAGTATTCAGGTTTGGCCATTATGGAAGTGACAGCGAAGCCGGCGTGCTACCATATTACGCGGTCGTGCTCACAAGGCTTACGTGGATGGTCTTGCTTACTATAACAGCCACTACCATACAACTCATTATAGTGATCGCGTGAGCTTCAACATGTGTTGCTACCCAGTTTGCTACTTAATAGATGCGGTGTACCATCCTTGTATAAGCAAAATAACATATCGCAATTGTTGTGAAATTGAAACAGGTTATGGGTACCTAAATCCGTAGTTTACCTCAGTTAGTAGCACATCAACTTCGGCTTTCAACTCTCCCGCGTGTGTTCTTAATATATCTGCACGACGCTCCAACTGACGAATTTGGTCCAGGTAGAAATCCACTCCAGGTGCTTTCGAGCCATCTTCATCTGTTTTTTCCGGCGTAGCAGAAGCTACCGAGTCCTTGATACCCGCTTGCTTTGCTTTCGGAGCCTGTAGAATGAAAAACTGTGGTTATACAAGCTGCGCTAGACGAATAGCGGGGATAATATGCAACTCGAGTTGCGGGGATTGCAAAGATTTGAGGTGCAACAAACTAAGGAAAAGTATAATGAATTAATGTTAGTCAATATGTGAACTGAGGGAAGCTTCCAAACGGGGCAAAACTTACACATAGGCTACCGTGAAAGCTTTAACTGGGTCCAAGCTGAAAGAATCTATTAGCGCTTAAATCAGGTCGAAGCAATGAATGCTTGTGCAACCTGAACGAAAAACTTGGAGAAACACGAGTCCCGGATCCACTGATTTGGTTGATTTAAACGTTACCTCATTTGTCTGCATAGGTGGTTCACCCAAATAATTCATGCACGGAAAGCGCTTTTTGCTCCAACATGGAGACTTCATTCGAAATAACGCATGAATACGGCTGCTTGGGTATGGACTCTGTGAAGAAAAATACGGCGACTACGATGCTATTTTAGTGCGGAGCTCAGAAAAACGCTCCACATAGACAGGTGAACATTTGCGAAAATTCAGTGATGATCTCGAAGTAAAATTGATCTGAGCAAATTGCTGGTTTTGCTCCCAGCATTTTATTCTACAAACGAGTGCTATTCCACAATATGTCCAGGCTGACTTCAAAGTCAACCGACGCCAGTAGTGAGATTGCGCGTCGCAATCCAAGACACACGGCGAGTGCTCCAAAACCCCGAAAATCTACCTCTAACCGCTGTGTCAGACACTGCTCCCGCAGCTCAATGGCCTAGTGATCATGGCGACGGGTGGCAAGTGGTACACAGCGCGAGTATCGACAAGTTCGTTCTGTGTAGTTCGCAAGTATCTACATTGTGTTTTGACCGTTCGAGGTACAATTTTGCACGACGTCTCTATCGTTTGTACCGACCGTATCGTTCGAGTCCACTAAGACCAGGCACTTGAGATGCAGCAAGCGAGCGGGAAAACCGTCCGTGTAAGGTAGCGTGTGGGTGTGGGCACTATGTTTGAGACAGACGCTTGTTGGGCACCAACTGAAAACGACAAAATTTTCAGATAAGCCGCTGGTTCAATATAGCAATATTGCTCTGGATGAAAAAGTACAGGTTGGTTTAGTTATTACGTCCGAAACTAGGAGCTACTGCACTCACATGCTGACGTACCCTGACACGCTGAATTACCAGCTGTCCAATGGCGCAAATTGCTTTGCCGAACGTGTCGGGTGGGTTGAGATGAGACACAGAGGCGGGACCTGTGAGTCCACGATGGCCGGGCACACCAAAGGAACCCAGGCCATTCGGCTGTGAGTGTGTGTTAGCCAATCACCGAAGTTGCACTGGACGTGTCATGATTTGCTTGATTGGTAGTTGGCTTTCACACAGGTGAAAACGCCAGCAAAAGGATCCCTGTGAGGTGGTTATTGGCTCGCTGTTTTTGCAATTGGAAAGAACAGCCTGGCCCTGTGCAATGGCCATTTGATGGGCTATCACAGTACATGGGCTATCACAATACATGGCAAAAGACAACTGCGACGAAAACTGTTATCTCCTCATGACTGGCTTTTAGCAAATCCGGATGCTTTCATTAGGCTGCTTTCGCTGCTAAGGGGAATCATAGTGCCAGCAGCACTTTCTAAGATTGCTGTCTTGTTCGTTTTATACTTTCGATCGTGTTTGCGTTACAGCTGAAAATTCACCCTTTATGAGTGCATAAAAGCAAACACTTGACTTGACAATACTATTAGATTTCAGTCTGCTCCGAAGTACTATTGACACCGTTAGACAGCACACCAATTTAGTCGTGACTGCAACTATTGCTCTCACAGTCAGACAATTGCTTATTATACCAATTGACCATGCCTTCGTTAGCGTTTCTCGTGTGCAATCGAGAATATACATTTATTCATTTCTATACTTTTATTTACATGAAATGCATGAAATGTATTTAAATATCAACAAATTAGGTGTTCGAAGTGTCCTCCGTTATTTTGGCTGCAGAGCAGTATTTGCTGGTTGGTGTGGGCGAGCACTTTCTGCAATTGCTTCAATGAAATCCGGCTACGTTCTTTCACAATGTTCTCTTTCAGTTCATCCGGGCTGTTGGGTTTTGTTCAATAAATGCGCTTCAAATATCTCCACAATCACAGTCTATGTGATTCAGATGCGGTGACCGCACAGGTCACTCCATCGGTCCTCCGCGACCCATCCAACGAAATTCTCGTTCAGGTAGGCACGAACCGATTGCATTGAATGTGCAGGTGCGCCATCCTGCTGCAACCAAAGGTTGTTCAGTAAGCCTTCCGACTGTAGTTGCTCAATGACGCTGGTCTGCAACATTTTCATGTACGCAGATGCTAAGCTATATCAACCATGAGTACTGTTAAACTACGACCTACCGGAGACATTCCTGGAAAAGAAAAGGGCCCAGTGATTTTTCGACCAGTCAACCCAGCCCAGGCCATGAGCTTCCCGCTCCGTTGCACACGTGAAGCGTTAAATTGGCTTGGGTTAGTTTTTATTAACTATGTTGCTTACCTTCTCCATACAGACGGAAAACGGCCTCATGAGTGAACAAAATAGAATGTACGTTCAGGCTGTTTAAAACCAACGGGCGAATTCCAAGCGCTTATGTGAATCGCATGTCCTCAACACTTGCACCTGCAGTGTACTGTACCGCCGGAACTTATTTTCCTTCAAAATCCGATGCACAGTATACGGTGTGGTTTCGCAATGTTGTGCGACTTGCCGAATGCTGGGTTGACTGTTACTGCATACCTCTTGCACAACCGCGCAAGCTGATAGTTCTTCCTTATCGGTGCGAGGCCGTCCGTTTTGTTTGATTTTGTAACGCTGTCAGTTTCAGCAAAGTTCTGTACCACTCGACGCACATACCGCTCGTTAATGGGCCGCGCAACGCACATAGCGTTATAGCGTCTTGCGGTTTCTGCCTTTTGGTACCACACTCACCATACAGCTGCACAATGACCATGCGCTGATGGACCGGCACATTACGTGACTGCGGTTGCGGATACATCGACGACACGGGTGTAAGCTCCTGCTCCATTGCTAAAACAGCAAGCTAATAACCATCTCACAAGGATTCTTTTGCCAACGTTTTACCTGCATGAAAGCCAACTACCAATCAAGAAAATCACAACACGTCCAGTGCTACTTCGGTGTTTGGCAAACACTCACTTCTCACAGCCAAACGGCCTCGGTTCACTTGGTGTGCCCCGTCATCGTGGACCCACAGGTTTCGCCTCTGTGTCTCATCTCAACCCACCCGACACGTTCGGCAAAGCAATTTGCGCCATTAGACTGTTGGTAATTCAGCATGCTGGGGTACGTCAGCACGTGAACACAGCAGCTCCTAGTTTCGGACATAATAAATACAACAACCATACCTTTGCGCCATCTGTCTCATACCGAAGCTTATCAAGAATTACCTGCCATCCACGATGAAGCAGATTAGGCGCACAGACTTGACACGTCTCCCGTAGACAGGGATCCTGCCAAGTTACTGAATTGTGTTGGTGTTATCGATAAGTTCGCCGTAAGTCAAGCACGGAAATTGAGTTTTTAAATTATGTACGCGAGTATTGTGACAATACAAGCGCCTGTACTTATGACAGCATACTGAAACCAACTTTTTATTTTAATGTGGGACGTACTATTGAAATGCTGTTCGCAAATGTGAGTGTACTACGGACTTACAACTGCCAGTAGTGGGGGCGAATATCTTACAATTGATTAGGGCGGCAAAAGCAGTTGCTAAGCCACTGGTTAAGCTAACGATAACTGTGGTCATCCAAACAGTGTCGCACTACGATTCACTGTATTGAGTTCACGGAGGACGTCAGAGATGCTGACAGAGTGATGACAATAACTATGGTGCTCTCAGTGAAACGATGGTTAGACAAAACCGATGAGAAGAGTGTGCTCGTAATTGTGTCAGCATCTCACTCCTCAATGTCCTAGGGTAGGTCATTGGGGCTGCTTAGTCTTTTACACCGAGTGAAAAGAAATAAAACAATGCCGTCCTCAGGGTATTAGCATTCTGCGTCTGCTAGCACTTTCGATCAACGCCGCAATTTCTGGTGAGAAATCATTCCACGAGCTTAGGACGAGGAACCTTTAGAACCGGTGGAATCGTCTTTATTACCGGATAAGGCAGAAAATAATCGCAACTGTTGGAACCCATCTCTGACTTGTCCTATAGGCTCCGACAGCTGGAGCATACAATACACAAATGACCTAAACTGAAGAGTATGATGGTGAAGTAGGATCGGCAAATGTACCATTTACCAATGGAGTTGAAAGAGGCTCTTCATCTGCCACATTTTACCCCAGCTAACCCATTTCTAAGTCAGTATTCAGATTGATTGTATACGGAACCACGGAAACTAGTTCTACACACGGATACTATGAGAATGGAGCACTGCCTGCTGCTTGTTCGGTTCAGGAGAATAATCATTTTTAGCTTGGTTTATGTTTTGACTGCGGTACGTGATGCACAGTAGCTCACGGACAACAGAGCTCCAATTTTGACTGGTCTGAGGTTTAGTGGTTGAGGGTTATGTTCGGAGACTAATGCTGCGGGATGAGCACTAATAAATCAGGTAAGTAGCACTGGATTCATGAGTTAAAACTAGCAGTAACCCCATGGGCTTGTTACGGGTTGCCAAACTAAGCAGGGTGGAAAACTACCGGGTATATGTAACAGGTCAAGGATAGATAATGAACGAAAGCATCTTTATTAAACCAACTCGTAAAGAACGGAATAAAAAGATACCGATAGCGAGGCGAAATGTTGCAGTACTGGCTGGAATCTTCAGTTTTGTAAAACGTTCACAGACATTGCAAACACTGGCGGTGTTGAAACGATGGCTTTTATACAAGTAAAAAGCTATAGCTTAACAAATCCCTTAAGATGATCGTGAAACTAAAAAAATATAGAAGAACTGTCAATAAAATTAGGCTTACACCTGTGCACCCACTGCAGTGTACGTAGTATACACTGCTAATCCAAGGTAATCCATAAGGAATGACGAAAAATGCAACGTTGGTAACAAATCGTATCACCAACTGGTGAACACATAATGGAGGTGAAAAAGGTGAAACATATTTTAGGATTTAATCGGACCCTTGTGTTTATCCGAAGGTAATGAGTCATGTGAGAGGCTGAGACAAAATGAGTGCACGGTCAACTCGGGTTTTCAAGTCTGTCAGTGTGGGAGCACAGATGACAGATTCCTGGAGAGCATTCCACGTTCGGCAAACGCGTACGGAAGAGAAATTCCGACAGAATTCCAAACGACTGTGCTGCTTTGTCTGCTTGAGATGGTTTCCACTCAAAGTAATGTTGTGACTAAGCTATAGCAAGTGGCGACACGTGTGGATGGGATTTTTCAA